ATCTCCTAATCGGTATGTTTGGTGTTCTGGTTGGGTGAAACGCTACATGAGGTAAAGGTGTAACCGGGACGGGTAGTTTCGACGCGCGGCGATGGATCACACACCTGAATCCGTACCAGAGAGGGCCAGTGAAGTCTAGATCTCTAGCAGGTTCAACTACCTACCTACCTGTCAATACTACCTACTACGGTAGGTAGGCGCGAGGTATGCGATCACACACTTAAGACTTCGCACGCATACATTAAAGAATTACTGGTACTGGTAAACGTGGGCAGAACCTGCATCTCATCGCCTCTTGGGTCTGTATGTAGTTAGTATATATCGGACATGGCATGTAGTACACAGTCACGATAGACAAAAGCGACATGCGAGTAAGGCAGAGTTGTATTTCAAATTCACACCTACTACATTGATGCCTTTATAATACCCAACTAATCAACTAGCGCAGGAAGATACTCATCTTTCGACTCCAGTACTACAATAAGCAAAAGGTCGAGAGCAAGAATAGTTACCCAGGCACATAGTCAATAGTTAGATCGTAAAGGTAGGTGATATATAACATCTTGATGCGCTATAAACTGGGTAGGGAAATAAGGATCTAAAGAAGACGTATACCGGGCCGGCTAACGCAATTGTCTGAGAATATCATATGCCGCTATGAACACTACCCAAGTTTTGTACTGCCCAGTATTTCACGGTTTATTACCACAAATCTACGCAGATACCCGAGCAATTCCCGAGCAACTTGAATGGGCTAGAGTAATTCGGTCAGGTACTCAGCTCGCCAGCCCTTTAAAGCACTGAGAGAATCCATAGGATTCCTATGAGTACCCAGTAAGGTGGGTATCAGAAGAGAGGTGTGCTTTTTGACAAACCCGGAATCATTTCCTTTTACTCGACACGGTTACACATGACACGATGATCAGGAAAGATCAATTCCTCAAGTCATCCATCGGTCCGCAGCGGCTACTGTATGAATCTTGTTCATTCTATTCTGCGATGCAAATGTGTGTTCTACAAGACACGCATTTAGGTTACTTCCTGTTCCCCGCAACAGGCCGGATCATCGCACATGATCAATGTGTGCAGCCCATCGCCAAGAGGCTTGGACACTCTTCCAGCGTATCCAAGAGGTGATGTACACTATGTAGAACCTGAGTCGGGATGGCTATAAATTCGCTTGGTACTACGGAGTATATGCTAACCCCAACCTACATGTTACGTCGTGCCTATCCGTCAACCCGCCAATCATTATTCCCTCCAATGAACAGTTTGCATTATTGGCCTTCAGCCAGACGACGCACTACCCAGGATTTTCCATCTATCGTTAACCTACTTGGCAAAGCTTGTCACTCGCGGAGGCGTGCCTTAGTAGTTCCCGTTACCCGTCTTGGCTGATATTGGCAGAGCGATCAACGACAAGGAGCCAGACGGTGGCTGCTGTCTGCTGTAGGCCTAGGACGGCTGCAGCCAAGATGAACCAAGGGTACAGAATGTGGTCGGTAGTCACAACAGGGTCCTCATGGTCGGCTAAGCGATGATTTGGCTGTCTGCCGTTGGCAATCGGCTGCTAATCGCTATACTACGTGAACACATGAACCCTTTTCTTGCTCCATTGGCCACACTTTTCTGTGGCAATATGCATTGGAGAATCTCGTTTGGAGAGCGTTGGAGTAGCGTATGTCAAGTCAAGGGTCTAAAAGAAATTTGGCCTGAATGGTGCATCATGGGACTGGATTGACATCGAAACAAGCGGCAGCATTTAACCAGCTTGGCTGCCATCTCAAATAAGTCATATTGGAATCCTTCATTGGTCGCGAGGCGCCCGCCACATTTGGATCCCGTGTTTTCACGATAGTAAACCAATTGGTCGAGCAGTCTTGATGGCGTTTTCTCCGGGGGTGCGGAGTGCGGAGTGCACCGCTGGCTATATGGTAGTACGCAATAGCCATTCAAAGCTCGGACCCGATTTGCAGTAATGAAACTTTACATGCATGGCGATACTATGTAGGCATCATATGATCAATAGATAAACGGCTACATGCATGTCTCTCATGCGTGTACCAGTGCCAGGATAGTTGGTCATTTCATCAACTATCTACATTGACCACCTATGGGGCAGCTTGATGCGTGTCTCACCTTCGACCTTTACGTAATTAAGCAGCTACACTCGTCTCAGTGTCTCAGCTGAATCTCATACAAGCGACGTGACTAAGCCAGTTCTCGCCAGTGTCAGCTCAGCGGGGTATGAGGATAGAGACACACCCGGTCAGTGTGATAAGGCTGAAGCTGAAGCAGGCTCATCATAGAGATCTAGCCATATGGCTGAGCAAACAGCCTACAAACTACTTATCGATCGTACCCTGGAGCTGTAACTTCGGATTATCAAGAGGCTGCCCAGGTACCTGACCGCCAATTTCACTATCACCAACACAACGGGTATACTCGACAAATGTGTGTTCACGAGATCTACATTTATCGGGTATTTCACCAATAAGCAAAGGATGAAATGGTCAGCAAAAGCAGCAGATAATAACAGTAAGAGCGCGTGCCCGAAGTTGTAGTCTACTACAATGAGAGCCCACAATTACTCAAGTCTGAAGAGCAGGGTATCATGGGTTTGAAATAAATCGATCTTAGAGTTGCGCAGGATAAGTTAAAATTCTATATTTACTAGGCCCTGCACTGCAGCATTAGCTACATGCATGCATGGTTATAATTCAAGTACAATAAGAGACAATCACATCCTCACTCAGGGACTGTTATTGCGTGGCCATCTGGACTCATGTAGATATCGTACAACAAGCCAGAGACAGGATTACTCAAATAGGTCTCCCTGCGTGAAGAATAACTGAGCATTGATCTAAGTTCCGACATTCCATCTTGACAGTGTTCCTTGACTTGACTTCCTCATAACTCTAGGGCGGTCACTTCCCTGAACATATTATCTATCCCATCACATCCCGACTGCTTTTCAGTCATCCGGGTGCTCTCAAGTCTAGTTTCAACATGTTCCGGAAAGCAGTGTGCTCGAATGGCGCCACATCAAGGCTAGGAGGTCTTAATCCAGAAGAAAAAGCGAAACAATTCGAGTAAAAGGGCGTTGAGGATGCACTAACCCTTAGTTTCCATCGTGCAATTCACGTTCCAGATAAGAGCATAGAGGTGAATCGCTATCTCCGCGTTCGGGTCGATCTCATATCATTCTGGACTATGCCAAGAATTCTGTAAATTATGACTTTGGCATTACTATCATCCTAACCAGGAACCAGGGTGTATCCCCAAAAATATACAGACAACGACGCACTACACTTACTTAAGACGGTCTGGCCGTGAAGTCTGGTCTTCGATTATCTATGTATAAGCAGGAGACGATACGCGTCAGGTTTGCAGCTCACTTCCCTTCCCCATCAGAGTCCTCATGGGAGGTATCAACTCGTCCCGAGTTGCGGACCTACGTGGAGGTAAGAGACGACATACAGCTACAAGGAAAGCCACCACGAGATCACATGATGGTTCCCGGCCAGCGTGGCTCAGCTGCACTATCCATGTTAAGACCACTCCAATCAAGCGTAGTTCTAAAAACAGATACAAATGCAAAGTATTGGAAGAGCAATCGACTCGACTCAATCAGCTTGGCTAGTTATCCACGTGGGGGGGATGAACCAGTTCTTTGGCATGGCTACATGTAATTTATTCTCGCGGCAGCCCGAACCGCTGTCAACCATGGGGACGACATAGAAATTCCGGTATATTATTGTGCGTCTGGCTTCGTCGTGGGCATGAGCTACGCCCGTGAGTATGCGAGGCTCCCCACGGCTGTCTTTGCCAGTATCATGACCGAATTAGAAGAGTAAAGGGTAATATGTTGTGAAGGGACATCGTCTTTTGACTCTAATGACAATATTTTCATCAACTAAAACGGTCATATCATTCGATAGGTAGAGTAGAGTAGATAGCCCCGATAGTGCGCGGATTGAGTGAAGAACTCCCCGCAAGCCCTTGTCATGAATAATTTGCTCCTGAAGATAAGAACAAGAAGGCATAACTGGCTTTTCCGATCATAGATTAAGTCAGGTAGACTATTTTTCAATTCCAAATCCCGCGGGTTAATGACAAAGGACGTAGGCATCTAGTTCGAAGCCCATATACTAGATTGGCTGCATTTACAAGAATGACAGCGAGCACGTACCAGAGAGGCTAATCAGTGCGAAGGCATGCCCTGAGCATAAAATATTTTATCCAGTTTACGCTATGTCAACTTCTAACTCGACGCTAGCGAATCCCAAATCAAAACCATCAAAGTTTCCAGTTCTCTGACACACTACTGCCCCTACATATAATATTCTAAGCAGCGATTACCAACGAGAACAAATCCCGAAAAGATTTCGTAATATTTTACAGCTATGGTTTATTGCATGCCCCCATGAGAGAGAACTTCTATCAACGAACGTTGCCGTGGCATTGCTCTTTACTACTAGTCATATCGTACGTAGACTATCGGCAGTCGCCTATAGAACAACACAGGCTTTTCATGGGAAATTTGCGATAACATCTCACATGGTTAAGCTTCTGCAGGAAGATTCCGACAAGCATGGCGACGAACTTGCTTGGATTCTGTTTCCAATAAGGACACCTATTCAAGGAAGTACAGAAGTCATGCGCAGTTCTTCCCCAAGCAGTACAATTTGCAAGTAGAATTCTAATGACTAAGTGCACTCCTCTCGATCACGCTGTAATCCTTTGTTGGGCAGCTCTTCGCCAACTCGCCTGGGCCCTGGGTGTAGAGCATCAAGAACATGCATCATCAAGCATTCTACAAAACAAGGCAATATTAAAAGCAAACAAATAATTAAAATATGACTCAGGAGAGAGACAATTATCAAAACAAAAGGACGCATCAAAATCAGTCGTTGAATTAACCGCATGATATTGCTTATGTAAACCACCGTCTTGGTAGATAAGTAAGCTTTTTGAAGGGCGCCCTAACAACCAATAATGCCCGCTTGGCTAAGTGGTATAGCGTGTCACTAGTACGCCTAGATGTCATGACAAGATCAGCGGTTCGATTCCGCTAGTGGGCAACCATCATTCACAATCCGAATTGGTGTAGTGGCTAACATTTGACGCTCTCATGAAGTACCGTCAAGCCCGGGGTTCGATTCCCCGATTCGGAGCTCATTCTTTTGCTGCCTCGGTTGAGCTTTTATCTATTCTGTTCCTTTCTGTTTTTTGTTTTTTTTTTGGTTATTTGCGGCCTATCCTACTTCTACTATCACGTTCACACTCTACGTTCTAGTTTATATAATTCTACTGTTACTGGATATTTAAGCGGATTAATTAATTTATGGGCTACTGTGTGTACTACGCTAATACATGTGAGCCATGTGAATGAAGAAGGCTTAATTGACTTAGGAGCTTGAGAGAGCTATATCAATATTCTCTATTGATAAAGCATATAAGCTACTAATCCACAAGCCCACTTTGCGTCGCAGTGCTTAACCGATGGACATCTCGGAATGAACGGCCGGGGCCAGTTGTCCCTCTCCGCAAATGTTGCCCGTTGACTAAAGCTATTTACCAATCTATATAACATTAACTACTACTAGGCTCTGGATCACGTACAACATCAGTATTGATGACGATGTCATCTCTATCCCTGAAGTGCAAAATGATGGTGACCTCGAGCAGATCGAGATCATCTTCCCTGTGTGCGTAGCCGTGACCGAGAATATCCGAGCTTTTGAGCGAAGCGCGCGTCGATAGCTCGGCCTTGAGTTGGCGAATTTCCGCCGTCAAGTCCAGATATCGTTCTTTCCAGCTGCATTCGTGATTCGGGGGAGCGATGGGTGTAGGCTTGGCAATCTCGGGTTCGAATGCCTGCTCGTTGAAGGATTGTCCTTCTCTGTGCTCGAGTCTCTCATGTTCGGACTGCTGATTTGTAGATGTGAAAGTGTTGCGTTGACGGGGGCTTGCATGTTGGGATAGAGGGGTGGCATGTTCTTCCTCGTGACTGTACTGAGTGTCCGAGCGCTGGTGCTTATGCTCAGTCTCCTATCTTTCTATAAGCGACCGTGATAGTCCACCTTGAGTTGTAGAGAGTTCCCTTTGCTGCTGACCTTGCCTAGAGTGCGTATTTCCAGAACTCGCTGCGTTCGCCGCAGTGGCCATATCTGAATGACCTTGTGCGTTTTCGAACACTTCGCGCCGCTTCGATACCGAAATCGGGGAATTCCGATGTTCTCGCTCGGGAGGGTCGATTCGTATCGTAGGCGTTAGTGGGGGTGTCCGAGGTGCCTTTGACAATGAGGTCGTTGGACTATGGACTCTTGTCGAAAGCATGCGATGTTCACGGCGAGGGTCAAGCTTGGTCTGCGTATCTTGATGCTGCTTCATGTGCGAGATATTGAGCGGAGCAGGGGCGAGTGCCTGATCTCGCTCCTGGTCAGAACCACCATAAAACCCCGGGGAACTTGACTCATTTCGCACGCCAGCTTCAGCAGCAGGGCTTGGTGAGCGACTGGCCGCATGGCCTCTTCAGCCATCGACTTTGACGCTCGAAAGGTAGCCATGGCTGTGCTCATGCGTTCCGTGGCTGTTCGTGTTGATATGATGTAGTGGAGCGGTAGCATCAGCTGCTTTCTTTGTCGGATTTCTTAACCATGATGGTGTACTGGCTAGTCGAAGCTTTGGGGGTTCGTTATCACGCAAAGATACGTTCGAGTCATTGTAGACATCTCTCGGTTCATCATGAACACTAGCTTCCCCTGGCATGGTGTCTCTTACTTCGCGTGTAATCTCCTCGCTCGTATTACTAGATAGACTACGATTGGGTCCGTTTGTCGTAGCTTTTGGTGCCGGGGAACGCCTCCCATTACCGGAGCGGGCTGGATGGCCTGTGCCGACAGGGTCTGGGGCCCACTGAAACGAACCAACTCCTGTAACTGACTTGGCCTTTGTTAGAGGTTCGATATATAGACCCGGCCTGATGCTTGACTTGGAGGAGGATGCGGGCTGAACCTTTCTTTCTTTACGCTCCTTGATGAGATCATAGGCGTTATGGCCAACTGCAGAAGAGAGGTGCTCCGCAATATGCTGAGAGCTGTGGAAGCCGGCAGAGTGATGGCGATGAATGTTATGTGGTTGCTCTGGTGGGAGGCTTGTATTCAAGGCAGGGCTCTCAAATGGCTCAGCCGGGGCTGGTCCGCCTGGAGCACTGCCTCCGTCCAAGGCCGGACTCTTCTGCTTGCTCTGATGTTTGGGGCAGGAAACACTATGGCGAAAAGGATGGTGCCCGGCGTGTGTTGCTCTGCACACAGGGTCGTCACACTCTTTGCGGTTCGCAGAATGTGAAGAAACATCGCTCTCCGTCTCTTGTTCCCGGCTCTTTCTATCCCGAAAGAGGAACGGGTTCTGTTCAGTAAGCTGTTTTCGTCGGCTCTGCACCTGTCCGTCTCGTTCTTCCCTTTTGTGTGAGCTGTCTCTCAAAATTGGTGTGGGGCTCCTGGACGGTGTCCTTTGTACCCCTTGCTCATCGTCTCTGCTCAGCCAACTAGAGTCGGTGCGGTAGCGAGACGACCGGTTCCGCTGCGTGTCTATTTTGTCTTTGTGTTGGCTGTTAGAAGTGGAATCAGTCATTCCTTGCTGTTGACGAAAATTCCGTCTGGAATCCAGATTTGATTTAGATGCATTCATATACTGTGATTCGTCTCTCGTGGTAGTATGGCTTTGATGGTGCGAGCAATCGGCATGGGCGTGTGGAGTGCCGCCGGATATCTCACACGAGCACTTTTCGCAAAGACGGTGCCCACAGGAGGGGCAGTGTGTTGGAGTCCAGGTACGAGCCGAGCAGATGTGACAGTGCCTGCAATGTCTTCGGGGGCTGGCATTTCCATCCCCTGATAGAGATAGGTCCTCTATGTCTGAGAGCCAGCCAGAGGGCCTGCTAATATCGTACTGCGTGAACATATCTCGAGCTGACTTCCACTTCTCCCTCTTTGGGGTGCCGCCCAAGACGGGCGAAAGGAATGGCGATATTTGCGGGGGGTTGACGGGATATAAGGGGTTCGCAAAGGACTGCGTCCCATAGGTGACAGTCGGCAAAGGCAGATGGTTTGGCCTAGGGTTCATTTCCTTCACAGTGTCAGAAATATGTCGCCCACCAGACGGGTGCATTTCTGTGAGACCATATTTGTTGCATACATGACCCATAGAGAAACTTTTCCGGCAAGAAGGCTGTGACAACAGTGGCGTCCTAGTCCTGGACCTGCGGCCATCCCGCTCGTCCAGGTTATGTCGACCACAGCTGTGAAAGATAAACGAATGAGTGGTCGGAGGCGTCCGGAAGTCAGGAGTATTAAGGTACTGCGTTGAAGATTTCGCATATTGGGAGCGTGGCTGACGTCCCTAACCGACAGATGTGTACCCATGCTGGCGCTCGGCGGGATTGAGGTCTTCGGAAGAGTTGATTTCGTTAGAAAATGCGTAGAACCGGCGCATTTTTGATTTGGCGTTTTCAACTGGGAGTTTGTCCTTAACGATAGGATACTCGCTCCGGCCAGACCTGTTTGGGACATTAGGAGAATGCCATTGTAGGCGAGAAGACATGGTGAATGATGTCTCAGGGGGGTTCAGAAGATTATGATATAACGCAAGGTCATCCGCCTAGGCATTGGACGTAAGTAATATATCTGTAGCATTAAAACCTAGGTGACTTGCTGGTCTAGTTCATGTCATATGAGAGCAGAAAGCCGACGTTTTAAGTATGTAGTTTGGTTAAACGACTGTTGCTCAGAAGCAGCCAGGAACGACTGTTGATCAATATGGATGGGTAATTGCGACAGCCGTGGCAAGTAGGCGCATTCACGATCAACGGAAACTGCATGTGGGAGCGCCGTGGTACTTAGAAACCTTCTTTATTCGCTCGTGGGAATTGTAGGGAATTATGCTGATGTACAAGTTTGATGCATGATAACTATCCTCTATACAGTCTATTTCAGAGCAGCTTGCAAACTCTCCAGGACCTGATTTCCATTAGTCAGATGGACGACAAAAGTATCGAAATTGTGCCTTACCTCCAGTTCGATCTTAGCTTCCGCAATATCCTGCTCACTACCACTGCCGTTGGCGACCTTCTGCGCCTCGGCAATCTGAGATCGTACAGCTTCGGCGCTGAAATCCTCCAGAGGGTAGCCCTCAGGGGAGTTGATACTCAGGACGGAGTTTGGCTGGACGGTGGCGAAGCCGCCGGAGACTGGTGCTGGATGTTAGTAAGCTGTATAATGGCGCCTCCATCTTGCATGTATCACGTACGGAAAAACTGCTTGCTGGTGCCGTTTTCCTCGATGACCTCAATTAGACCGGGCTTCAGCTGCTCGATTGAAGGCACGTGGTTGGCAAGGACACCCATTTCTCCGGACTCGGCGGGGATGTTGACCTGAACGACATCGTGCGAAGTGTAGATAGACTGGTGCGGGAATTAGCAGGGGCCATTGGCGACGAGCTCGTAGTTACGAAGGCGCATCAACGGGTGCTCGCATCATTGGGAATTATCAAGGCTCAGTCGCGTATCTGGGGAGGCGATCGTACCTGGTGAGGGAGGGACAAGCTTAGCTTGATCTACACACGATGTTAGTAGAGCAACGTTTGAGTAGCCGGAGAAGACTAGCCTTGTCGGGGGCGGCGTCGGCGTAGGCCCTTCGCTGCAGAGGCTGGACAGGGAGCCGCATAGCAGCGGGACGAGCTCGCAGAGCTGCACGGGCGACGCGGAAGGCGTTCATGATGACAGGCGTGGTCAATTGGAGGGGAGGGCGTGACGAGCGAAGCTCACGATAATCAGTGGCCGCAAATTGGGATTGGATACTGGAGAGACGGAATCTCGGGACTTGTCGGCCTAGCCCGATTTGGTACCACACTAGTCACGTGATCTATAACCATTTTGAGTCACGTGACAGAGTCTTTCTTGCTATGCCATGGACGGGCTCGAAATCACGCGCAGCTTGGCCCTTCAACGTTATTAGTTCTAGAACATGACGTAAGTGACACTACTATTCGCATAGAAGTTCTTCGCGTAGATTCGCGCGGA